CCGTATGTTAACAACTAGTACTTGGGAGGTCATTAATGATGTTGTTAAATTTTTACATAAATTTTATACAACTACTGTTGAGTTTTCTGGAGCATATTACCCTACTGTTACTATGGCTTTAGTACATATAGCTGAAATTTCTTTTCTACTCTTTGAATTTAAGAAGAAAGAAAATATAAGGATGTTGTGGAAAAAATGCAAGCAAAATTCAAAAAATATTTCTTTCCAATTCCTCCGATTTACTTAATTGGTGCTGTTTTAAATCCTTCTATTAAGATGTCTGATTGTCACCAATTAATGAATGCTTTATATACTTATATGGAGATTGGACCAACTGAAACCCCAGATTTATATGTTTCTATGAACAAGCTAAATGATTATTTACAACAATTATATAATTATTATGCAAATGTAATTGATGATGCTGCTCGTACTGTATGCAATGTTAATCCCACTATGCACTGTAGCACTTCTGCTACTGTGGATGATGAAGAAGGCCTTGATAGTTTTAATATTTTTTCTACATTTTCTAACACTCAAACCAGTAGCAGGAACATTGATGAACTTCAACTCTACTTGCAGAAGCAAAAAGAGCCTCGGACAAAGGAATTTTCACCGTTGGGATGGTGGCATGAGAATGGAAAGCAATTTCCTGTTCTTTTCGCTATGGCTCGGGACGTGCTGAATGTGCCAATTTCTACTGTTGTATCAGAGAGTGCATTTAGCCAAGCAAGACAACAACTTGGAGACACCCGTCACTCATTGGGAAGCAATGCTTTGGAAGTTTTAGTATGTTTAAGAGATTGGATTAGATCGGAACGAAGAAATCAAGGACGTGAAGATGTTGATAGCCCAGAAGACGAGGAACTTGGAGATATATTAACACATGGTAACCCATCCGAATTTAACACTCCAGAAGAAGGTCACTAGTTCATATTGATTATGAAGAACTTACTAAGGCAATGCAAAACCTTTGAATTTACTCTTTTTTTTTAATTTACTTGTTGTTAAATGTAAACCTTTCAATTTGTAAGTTTGAATTTTGAAATAAATGTAGCACTTGCAATTTATAAGTGCAATTTTTTCCCATCTTCCTTGTATTCTTTTGTGTTAATACTTTGTATTAATATAACTTACAATAGTTATACAAAATACAAAAAAAAAATTAAAAAATACACTAAACCCGGCCCGGCCCGGCACCCTCAACCCGTAACCCTTACGGTTCAATTTTTACCCGGATGAATCCGAACCCGCTAAACCCTTTAAGCCCCAACCCGTAACCGGCCCGGACTGTAACCCGTACGGGTCCAAAAAATAGCAACCCAGCCCGGCCCACCCGTTTAACACCTATAATTGTATCAGACCTGTGATGAAACAGTTGATCATTTATTCAGACAATGTGAATTTGCACAAAGACTGTGGTCCAAGTTGATGATGTGGGTACAAAGGCAAGATCAGACTGCTGCTGAATGGGATCAGTACATTCACAATATCATTGCTAGATCTAAAGGCAAGTCACAAGCTGCACAGAATGTTTGTAGTATTAGAGCTTCCCCTAGAACTCAGAATGTTTTTCATAGACTTAAATTCTAGATTAGCTATGTGTTAGTTCTGGTTTTTTGTTCGAGATAACAAGCTGTGTGTCGTCTTGTTGTGGATCATGTAAATACTTACTTGGTGACTAATACAAAAAAATTAGTTACCAAAAAAAAAAAAAAACCTTAAGGGGTAAAAGCTCTGTGGGATCATGATATTTGTGTGGTTATAAAAACATCTCACTAACGGTAAAATGGATAAAATAAAGAGTTTAAAGTCAAATTATTTCCAAATTTAGAAATATGTTATTTATTTTGGAACAGACTAAAAAGGAAATTACCTCATCTAATTTGAAACGGAGGGAGTATGTAAGACAAACATCATGTGTAACACACCATTTGTCAATATCCAACAGAATGTGCAAAATGGTAGCAAATTCCACATACCCAATGTGAATCAGAATTTTGTGTAGTATATAGCACCAAAATAGTGTCATTGTATCATTAATACTCCGTTGAGAGCTCAACTGATATGGGGTTTCCTGCTAACTTTGTGTACCAAGACAAAGTCTAATCATACTTTCTGTTCTATTTATGCAACAGTAGAGCCATGAAGCAAGACGAACAAATTTTTATGTACAAAATAGAAATCAAAGAATAACTTCATAAAATACAACTAGCTCTTTCCATGGTACACCAATTTAAGCAAGAAAACTTTAGATGGAAAAATTATATTGCACAAAAGAGAAGAAAAAATCAGCTGGAAATGATTTCAGCATATCAATCTTGGACTCCCAACCAATAAACTCATATTTTTGCATTGTTAACCTTCTACATGAGATGCATACAACACTAGGAAGCTTGCATCATTTTGCTGTCTTTGAGTGCTTAATAAGCCAATCAATAACGGTATCTATATTTACACACTCTTTACATGAGATCATGTAGCAGCAGACCTCTCTATCCGTGATTGAATTAAGACCTCTGATACAACAAACATCACGAGTAATTAGAAACGAAGAGAGGAAAAAAAAGGGCGTTCTTGCATGAAAACTGGAGTAATGTTACGTTTTTGCTACTTACAGTTGATCGACTAACACCTGCTTTGAAAGAGCTTCTGATTTATCAACTTTGTTTCCGAGCACCAGCAAGGGAATTCCGTTTAAAGAAGGTTTTTTGAAAAGCTCATGTAGTTCTGTTCGACATATAGGAATACTATCTCTATCAGCAGCGTCTACAACATACCTAAATCACATAGAGAAAACCAACTCCATTGTAAATACATCCAGACCTCTCTGTAACAGCATCCCCATATAACAGTCATTCACTATAGAAGCCAAGTTTTTCTCGTAACTGATTACTATGTTATGTTATAATATATGTCCTCTATAACAGCACTTCACTATAGCAGCCAAAAAATCTCGGAACATATAAAGCTGTTATAGATCATAGAGAGGTTTGACTTATGCTCTCTTCTTACACACATCTATCATACGCATAAAGCTGGGAAGCAGTTTTACTCAGTTAAAGAAACTGAGTCAGAAGTGGAAGCAAAACAAATGAAGAACACATGAGAAGACAATAAAGACAAAGAGCAAGATGGTAGGAATTACAGTATTGCAGAAACACCCCGACAATAGCGTTCCCACATCGTACGAAATCTCCTTTGGCCTCCAATGTCCCAGAGTTTAATAGTCACATTTCCTTTTGTAACTTTACGCATATTAAAACCAACCTGATTTTAAGAAACTCACATTAGCAACGAATTACAAGAACGAAGGATCATTAATCAGATTCAGTGAGAACAAGATACCTACCGTTGGAATCATGTCCTCGCTGTAGCCCCCAGTCTGATTAAGATCAACATATTAATGTGAGAAAATAGTACAGTAAGAAAAGAACAACGGAGAGATAAAGTAAGAAGGAAAGGATAAGGTCGTTACAGCAATGGCATTGACAAGAGATGTCTTCCCTGCATTCTGAAGGCCTACAAGGGAAAGTTCCATTTCCTGTTTAAAGAAAAAGCTGAACAAGAAAGCAGATTAAAAACTTATCTTTCTTTCTTTAGTAGAAGAATGCAAATGAGAAGCTTGTTCATTAACAATGTCATTCTTCATCACATAATGCAAATATCTAATGAAGAGAACAGAATCATAGATCCTGTGGAATGAGGTTACTAGATATCTAGCATGTCAATTTTGAAATAAAAACAACAAGAGCATAAAATGTCATAGCGATAAGCGACTTCCAAGGGCAATAAACTCATAATCTAATTGGTAACGACTTAAAAATAATAAAAAATAGTTTTCCCTATCAACCCGATTAAGCATTATAATGAGGTGAAACATCACAATATGAAACAGTAAGTGATACAGGTGGTGTTAAGTGCTAATGCTTATTGAATATTCTCAACTGACATATTTCATCACTTAATTACAGTGAAGTATCAACTAAATAGCTAAGCCAAAAAGAGAAGTGTCCTAAAAAGAAAAAGGTTTTTAAAAAAAAAACCTAGACATATTGTTACAAATAACGCCTGAATAGCATATAATCTTTTTATTATTATTTTACCTCTCCCTAGGAGCTCCCCATTTTGCTCCCTTGGTGACTCGAACCCACGACCTCAAGGGTGGAGGTGAAGGGTGCAGGGGCGGACGCACGTTACTCGAAGCGGTGTCATCCGACACCACTTCATCGAAATTTTTTACTAAATACACATATAAACAGTGTACCAAAAAACAGATATATTAATAAAATGACACCATTTGACAAAGAAGTGTACTTGGTCTGATGGGTAGCGCGTCCATTTTCACCGGAAGGTTGGGCGATCAAATGCCACTCCTTAGATGTATTTCACTTTTTTAAAGAATCTTTAGTTTAAATTTTAGATTCTGTAAGGATCGAACTCTATCCTTTAAGCTAAAAACATTGGTTAAACAAGTACACCAAATTCGTTACACATTAATTAAAGTGATAAATAAATAAACAAATATAACATGTAATTATTTTAGTATAACATGCAATCATTAATAATTGATTAAGTTACTCCTCTTTTTCTATAACTTACAACTTCTGAGTGACCAGATTTGCTGGTGTTACTATTCTTCGCTTTTTATTTTTCATGTTGTTATGGTGATTTATTTTATAAATGATGTCGTTTACAAAAAATTCTGCATATGCCCTGGAAGGTTGCTTACCACTAAAGCAACCTTCCCTTGTCACCTGGACATCCTATTCAATCGTAATCATCTATTTATATAAAGTATACGTTGCATTATTAATCCCCGTATTACATCCCTGCCCTAATTTGTTTATATATTGTGCTCCCTCCTCTCCCACCTATGTTTCTTCCTCAATGGCGAAGTCAGTAATTTCCCCAAGGGTGTTCAAACTTGAAAAAAAGAAAAAAATTCATTGACATAGGATATTCAATATATGTTATATACCTCGACAAGCTAATATTTTACCTATATATACATTGTAATTTTTCGACGAAGCTTCGCCTCTGTTCTTCCTATAACTACTGATGATACTCTATAGAAGCACATTATTGAGCTTGTAAATAATAACTTCAGTAAAACTTAACAGAAACCATTATTTTCAGAATTACTTAACAGAATCCAATTTTTTAGAATTATCAAGCAAAAAAGAGGCAACTTAAAAAGGGTTTTTAACCAAAAAAAGAAAAAAAAGGGGGGGGGGGGATAGATTACCTTCTAAGCCAATTGAGGAAAGAATCCCAAAGACCCATATTCTGAATTGCTAAAAAGAAGCCAACTTTGATTTTTTTGTGGACAGTGTTAATGAATTTTCTGTAGTTGCAGTTGAATTCTTGAGACAATTAGGAAGAGGAAGGGAGAAGAAACAAAAGGAAATTTCGCCGACTGAGAAAAGGACAGAATCTTATTGGTAGTATTTACGTACTAAGTAGTTAGCAAAAAAACTGTTCGCTTATCAGGTTTTGATGCTGTTGTGGCAATATACTTAGTAAAGAATTCAGAGTTAAGTGGGAGATAAATCCAAATATGGGTAGGAAAAGGAAAGGACTAGTACTACTAGTATTTGGTTTGCATGAAAAAAAGGAAAATGAGAAATTTTAAATTTTTTGTCCTTTTCGCTTCTACAAAAAGAACCTCAATCACAATTTGGTTCGGCAACATAAATTTTTATTTAATTATGGGTGAAATTCAAAATAGTCAAATTTACGAGTGTTAATTGAAAAATAGTTACATTTTCAAAAGTAATTGAAATTTAGCCACTTTTTATTTAAAAATAAATTTGAACAAATACATTATTCAAAATTCGAAAAATATTCCAGCATAATATACTAGTGTTAAAATTTTTTACATAGGTACTTCCAGCATAATATACTGAAATTCCAGCATAATATGTTGGAAGTTCATACGCAGGTGCTCCAATCTCTAATGCATTATGCTGGAACTTTCCGTGTGTTGGAGTTCCAGAATAATATGCTGGAAGTTCATACACATGTACTCCTATCTCCTATCTCCCGTATATTATGCTGGAACTTTCTTTGTGTTGGAGTTCCAGCATAATATTCTGAAAATTCATACACAGGTGTACCAATCTCCAGTATATTATGATGGAACTTTCCGTGTTGCAGCAAAATAATGGTTATTTTTCAATGAATTTGCAAACACTGTCTATTTTTTAACAGAAAAGGGTGTAATATATCCCTCTACTATTGAAAATTGTTTAAATTATCCTCCGTTATACTATTGGCTCAAAAGAACACTTACCGTCTTATTATTGGAACACATATATCCCTAACTTGACGGACTGGACACGTGGCACCCATCCAAGTCTGTTGGTCAATCCAATCTTAAATTAAAAGTGACCCGCCCCATTATCTAGTACCCATAACCCGACCCTCTTTTAATTTAATTGAATTTGAACTCCTAAAATAGAAGTTCCGTTCTTCCTAGCAAAATTAGGTTTTTGCAGTACCACAGCCGCTCTCCATGGTCTCACCATAATAAAGAAAGTTCTGGAAGATATAAGGATTTGGGTTTTCAAAAGGGATATGGAATTTCTAGTGATATTTCTAAGAATTTGATGAAAAGGTATTTACCCTTTCAACGAAGATTGGTACGACGTCAGCCATGCTTCCATCAGAAAATAATACGACAATGAGTGGTCAATCCTCAAGTTCGTCATCGGCCGAAGGTTTGACTCGTTGGCAATGGATTCTGTCCGAATCGGAGTGAAATAGTTGCTGGAAATATTTGGTTGTTGCAGTTCTTTGAGAAAAAAAATTTAGATGACGCAAGAAAAGGAAGAGTCGCTGGGGGTAATTTTCCAATCAAGCTTCATCAGTTTTTGAGTAAAATAATTAAATTCCTATGAGACCCTTTAATTGTTGAAGACCAATTACAATAGTTGCACCTCCCATGAAACCTACTATGCAGCATGTGAAAGAAAATCCACAAGAAACTCTATAGATCAAGATTAAAAGACGAAATCCAGTTGAAAAGAAAATAGCGAACACCCAGATGAAAAGTTACAAAGTTAGTTCAAACTATTAAGCAAAATCAAAGAAAAAAGAACTTTAGAAAATTAAGAGCGGTTGAATTTGCTATAACACCTATTTTCTCAACAATGGAACAAAATGGGGACAAAAAAAAAAAGTAGAGAAAAGGTAGAGAGAGAGAGAAAGAAAGTACTTTTTCAGTCTTGGGTCATGGATACCGGGTAATGGGGCGGGTCACTTTTAATTTAAGATCGGATTGACCAACAGCCTTGGATAGGTGCCACGTGTCCAGTCCGTCAAGTTAGGGATATATGTGTTCCAATAGTAAGACGGTAGGTGTTCTTTTGAGCCAATAGTATAACGGAGGATAATTCTAAATAATTTTCAGTAGTAGAGGGATATATCAGACCCTTTTCCCATTTTTTAATTATCGGTCCGAAAAATGGTTAGCCCGTGCTATTTTCACTTTAAATCATCCCATATTAAAAAAAATTATTGGCTCGATTAATCTGAATAAGCCCAACAAGTGCCGGCTTAACCATAAAGCAACTAAAGTTGTTGGCCCCGAAATTTAAAAATAGCCAGATTTACAACTGGTCGTTCAAAAATAGCTCAGTTTCAAAAGTAATCGAAATTTAGCCACTTTTCATGTAAAGATAAATCTGAGCGAAAATACTGTTCAAAACCCCGAAAAATACGCCAGTATATTATGCTGGAGTTCCAGCATAAGTATACTTGAACTCCAGCATATTATACTGGAGTTCCAGGATAAGTATGCTGGAACTCCAGCATAATATGATGGAGTTCCAGCATAAGTACACTAGAACTCCAGCATAATATACTGGAGTTTGGAGCACCGGTGCTCCAGTCTCCAATATATTATACTGGAGCCAGCAAAGTATACCGGTGCAGCATAATATGCTGGAGTTCATACACAGGTGCACCGGACTCCAGTATATTATGCTGGACCGGTCTATGTTGCAGCAAAATAGTGGCTATTTTTCATTGACTTAGTAAACGCTGGCTATTTTTGAATGACCAGTCCGAAAACTGGCTATACCGTGCTATTTTGACCCAAATTTGGGGGGGCACATTTTCTATGATAATGGGCTTATATTTATTTATTTATTGAAAAATATTGAGTAGTATTTAGAAGAAGAAAAAATTCATATAAATGGAAAGCCAACATTTTAGCTATGATAATAAGTGATCGTTTGACTTAAAAAGTAGGGAAATACGAATAACTATATAAATCACTTGCATACAAATGAGGAATGTATTTGATTGGGAAAATTATTATTCCATTTTTTACTTTTTTTTATTTGAAACGTGTTAAAACTTTACACTCTCTTTCTTGGTTGATGCAAGAACTACGATCTTTCATTTCACCTTTTCCATCAATTTACATACTTTGTTTTATATTCTTTCTTACTTTTTCTAAGATCAATTATTTGTTGTTCAAAACTTCCGATAATTTATATTGCTTATATAAAAACATAGTTAAAATGTACTTTCCTTATAATACATAGTGTCTCATTTTCTGTTCTTTCTCACGTTTAAAGCTTGCGGGAAATATTTGAAGCAACATTACAAAATTTAGAATTATGTCTTCAAACTTCTTGAATCATGGTCTTTCTTTCTAACTTTTTAGTATCTTTTTTATCTTATATTTGTTATTTTTACTTCATAGGTATATTTTTTAAATATTTATTAGAATTTAAATATGACAACTAAAAAATATAAATCTTGTTATCACCCCCCCCCACCCACCCACCCACCAAAAAAAAAGAGAGGAGTTGAAATATACAATCTCAAAAAAGAGATCTTGATAATTTTTTCGCAAACAATAGAAAAGCTAAATTGGAAACTATAGAGGAGTGTTTTTTAGATGAACATTCACTAATCTATTAGAAGAAATCAATTATAAAAAATTACTTAACAATTTTGCATCTCAAAAAGTTAAAAAATAGGTTTTAAATAAAAATAACTATTAAAATTATTATTTAATGGCCTTCGATTTAAACTTTGGCTTTAGACCCCAAGTGTTGTTGAGCCGCCTCTGAGCCCAACCTTTCCATCTTAGATGCAGTTGAATTCTATGTACCAAAATGTTACAAATTTACAGTTTATATCTATTGCTTAAAGGAAAATTACCAGCTATGTCCATTTATAAGTAGCTCATTACAAGATTTGGCCAATTGATAAAATATTACTAATATTAGCCAATTAGCTATTTGTAGCAAAAAATATCAAATTTTTGCTTTGTTTTGAGTGGGTGTTATTAGAATAGATTGGGCACAACTTAAGGAGCTTGAATCTCAGTTTTGGGATGATTTGGTGAAGTTTTGAGGTGGTTTGAATTGAAAATTCGAAGTAAAAGCTGAACATGAAAAAAAATGATATGTGTATCAGACTGTGAATCATTTGTGTATCACATATGTATCAATTGTGTATCACATGTATATCCATGTATACCTGTGTGTGTGATACATGCGTGATACATGTTTGATACGTGTGTCGCAGAAGACTTTTTTGAACTCGATTTAATTACGAATTTTGATACAAAACCAGTCCAAATCACCTCCAATCTTCCTCAAATTTTGTATATTGACTTATCTATATATTTTCAATGAATTTCAATTATACCCATTGAAAAAGTTCCTATTTTGTTTAGATTTTTGGAATATTATATAGATTTTTATATTTCATCACCTTATTTGCTACCCCGTCCATGAAATTTACTTTCCGTCTTATATCTAATGTTGCTAATCACGCTTAAAATTATGGAAGGTGATTTTTGCATGTGATTCTTTGAGAGAAAGAACCCTATTATTTGGTTTTTCAATTTTTGTTGGCTAGTTTTGGTAAGTTTATGACTAATGGCTAGAGGTTGGTAAGTTGAGATTTATTTGGGACATTTGTGTAAGTTTCCCTTGCTTAAATTCATGAGCGGCCTGGAAAATTATTGTCCATTTAAAATAAATGGTGACATTTTGAGTATGAGATTCAAAAAAATTTAATTCATACCTGCTCAAAGTTTTCAAATAAAATTCAGATATTTAAAAATAATCTAAATTGTTGACAAATTATGAACTAGTAGTACTTTTAAAAGGAAGAAAATTTAATAAAGCAAGCTTGAGAAAATGGTGACAAATAATAACTTGTTGCTTGACTTTTCGACTATTTAAGAAGTCATATAAAATTAGGATTAAGGAAACAATGGGTTTAGCAAAGAGTTAATTGAACACTCAACACATTGGACTACTTCGAAACATTCATAATAGTTGTCTAACTAAGATGTGTTTTTGGGAAATTTAATTAGTATTCTGCTCAATAGACTGAATAATCTACCATGTATATGTGTGTTTCCTTAGATTTGCTGAGAAAATTTAAATTGGCTTTCAACTTTATGACATCTAATTAAGGATTAAGTTTGTATCAACTCAAATTATTCCTCTTCACTGTTATGATTGTGCTAAGTTCTTGAACTGGTTCAGTTCGAGTAAATTTTAACTGCTTAGACACTTGCTATATGATCTCCTTGGAGCAACGGTTAAGTTGTCTTCGTGTGACCTATAGGTCACGAGTTCGAGCCGTGGAATCAGCCACTGATGCTTGCATCAGGGTAGGCAGCCTACATCACCCCTTGGGGTGCGGCCATTCCCGGACCTTGGGTGAACGCGGGTTACTTTGTGCACCGGACTGCTCTTTAAGGAGTCTATAGTAGATATAGATATCATTATTGATTGGCTTACTAAGCAAGACTCTACTGTTGCATAAATAGAACAGAAATTATGAATGGATATACTTGCTTCTAAACAACATTGTGAACAAAAGAGTTCTATTAAATTTCCAGAGTGATTAGTAGTAACGTAATATTTGAGAAAATACATACAACCATTGGTAAATTGACAGAAATGTAGTTCTGTTATGATGGAAGCTAGACTAATAGAGAGGCTCAAAATTACTAAAAAAGATAAGACACCTAATATATGCTTATAAAAGATTGTGGAAAATTAATCCGTTAGTACAGGTTTTCTGATACAAAGAACCTGGCCTGAAGAACAACTGATCAGCTGCAACAAAAGCTGTAAATGATTGAGGAGAAAAACCTAATCAATAATCAAATCAAAATAGACTAGTAAATATATTAAGGACTAATGAGATAATACAAAAAAAGAAGTCAAAGAAAGAGTACTTGTTGTTCGCCTATGTTGCTCGGACTCTCCAAAAATGTTGCCAGGTGCGTGTCGGATCCTCCAAAAGCAGTGTATTTTTGGAGGGTCTGACACGGGCGCGGCAACATTTTGGAGAGTCAGTGCAACGTAGATGTTCGCCAACTCCAGAGCACCTTCAATCTGCGGAGAAGCATTACTATTGTTGCAGAGATCCAAATTGCAAAATTTGTCAACTTCTGAAAGTAAGCATCTCTAAATGATTGGTTGAGGATTATAGTGAATATTACTCCCCAAAATCCAAGACTGAAGCCACTTGCCACACACATATAAAACCCAGATGACAGAATCTTGTCATCTTCATCAAGATTGTTGATTTTGCTATGATCAACACCAGGGCTTCGAGTATCTCTATCTTCAGGACATTCTACAAGTGGTGGGCCACAAAGTTCATTGTTTCCTTCATATGCTGAAGGATCAAAACTCTGCAATTGAGTGCTTGAAGGAATTTTCCCCGACAAGTTGTTACTCGACAAGTCTAAGACACTTAGGAAATGTAGTTGAGCAAGACTTGTAGAAATTCGACCAGTGAGCTGATTCTTAGACAAATCAAGGGACTCTAACTTTTCCATCTTCCCAATTCCTTCTATTACATTTACTGTTATATTATTTCTCGAGAGGTTTAGTGAAAGCACTTCATCCAGTTGCGCGATTTCTTCAGGAACTTTTCTAGCTAACTTGTTTTTAGAAAAATCGATGATCTTCAACAACCCGAGAGTCTTATTGTACACCGATTCACTGCTTTTCCATTGAACTAGTGCATCCCCAAGTATTCTTCATAATAAGAATAGCCATTGTAAGTGTCTCCACCTAATTCAAAAAGAATGCTTAAGTTTCAACTATTATTATTCTGAAGCAAAGATGTGATATTGTTGAGACAACGTGGGATTTCTCCTGATAAGCTGTTCTGAGAAAGATCCAAAATATGGATTTTATTCAGATGACACAAATTTTGAGGTATGCTTCCATTGAACTTGTTGAGTCTCAAACTTAAGACAACCAAGAATGTTAAGTGTGAGCCAATCCATAATGGTATTTCTCCACTTAGCTTATTTCCTCCTACGTCCAAGATTTGCAATATTCCGCAGTTCTTCAAAGAGGTAGGCAGATCACCAGTAAAATTGTTGTTCCGCAACTGTAGAGATTGGATTTCCAACAAAGAACCAATGGAGTTGGGAATTTTACCATATAGATTGTTGTTAGCTAAATTAAGAATGGCTAGTTCTTCAAAACCCATCAAACAATTGTGAAGTTCTCCTGAAAGTAGGTTGTTTGAGAGGTCAATGGTGCGGAACAAAGCGTTGGCTATTTTGCACAGGAAAGAAATTGATCCGACAAACTTGTTTTTGGAAAGGTTCAATGATTCCAAGTTGGAAGAGAATGATGGCACTAAACCTGAGAAATTATTCGAACTAAAATCCATCGTTGGGTAATTAGTTTCCTTTACAAACTTGGAAGATAAATCAGGGACCTCTCCACTTATTTGGTTATTGGAAATACTAAAGTGCATCATTTCAGGAGAAAGATCCCAAAACCAGTTAGGTGCTACTCCTGATATACCAGCGAAAGAGATATCAAGATGTGAGTAATTCTTCTGAGTTCGTAGCCACTGTGGGAAATGAGTCCCTATTTTACAATGGGAGAGACTTATAACATCTAATTCAAAAGGTGGAAGCCAATTAAGTCCCAACTGAAAAGAGACGGAGTTATATGACAAGTCCAACACTCTTAAGCTGGAAAGGTTTGAAAGATGTGACTCTGTGATTGGACCTTCCATGAAATTTGATTCGACCCTCAACATCTCAAGCTTTGAAAGTCGTCCTATACTTTGGGGTAACCTCCCTTTGAATTGGTTATTGTTCAAATGCAACTCTCTTAATGCTGAAAATGCTGTTAAGTTTGGAAAAGGTCCTGTTATTTGATTCAAAGATAAATCAAGGAATTCGATCTTTGAAGTCTGCCCATAGCTTTCTACGAAAGATCCATACAGTTGATTCTCTCGCAGGTACAAACTTTTTAAGGATGAAAATCTGGTGATGTCAGGCAATGAACCACAAAGATGATTGTTAGATAAATGCAATTCTTCAAGTGATTTTTCTGCTTTACCATATAAGCTCAGAAATAATTCAGGAAGTGGTTGGTTCAAGTTATTAGTTGATAAATCAAGGGCTCTTAAGTGACTCTAAGTTGCCAAAAGATTTGGGCAATCCACCTTCTAGAATATTTGTAGCAAGGTCAATGAACTCAAGATGTTGCATATACCCAAAGGCTTCAGGGATGCGACCTGCTAAATGGTTAGAAGAGAGATCTATCGAAGTAAATCTCGTACTCAAGTTGAACAACCACCGAAATGCAGAAGAGGAAAGCCCAGTATCAGCAAGGTTGAGGCTGGAAAGTAAACGGGAAGAGACATTGGATGAGAGATGAGATGTTGATATGATTGGCTCGGGGACGTTGCAGTGTTCCAAATTCAAGTGTTCTAAAGAAGGGGACTTAATTATTTGTTGTAACCAATTGACTGTTTCAATATGAACCAAAGAAAGGTCAAGGTTGCGTAAAAAAGCAAGATGAGGAAGCCACTCAAGGTTCTTCACTACTAGACGGGAGTTCAGGCTAAGGTCAAGAATCTGCAAACGGGTAAGGTTTCCAAGAATGTGAGGAATTTCACCTGAGAAGTTAGCACCCTTAAGATTAAGGTATTCTAGTCTTGGAAAAGAACCAATGAAATTCGGTGTGAGCACGTGATTTTTGCTCTATATATGAATTATTCCCAAAAAATTTATACAAAATAATTTCTCTTTCATTATTTTACACTTTTGTGAATTTTGTGTTATTTTCTGTTAACTGTTTGCATTCTTATTTGTGCATTTTTATTTCATATGAAAAATATAAAAAATATGCCTGACATTTGCATTTAGGATCTAATTTCATATTTAAGGATTATTTAGTGGTTAAGTTGTTTTTAGAACAAAATTTAAAGAAAATAACAAAAATAGTCCATTTTTGCATTTTTTAATTGTTAGTTGTTGAATTTGTCTTGAGTTTATTTTAAATAGGGTTTAATTAGCTTAATTTTGGAAATAAATTAGGTTTCATTTTAATTTTTGCATTTTTTATAAAATCAGAAAAATAATACAAAAAATAAATAAAAGAAATAAAAATGAAAACAAAAGCAATTAAAAGGGGCTGCCTCAATAATGCCTAATTGGGCCATTTAATTGACTTCACCCAGCCCAAGCCACTGGCCCAAACGCCCTGCCCGGTCCAGTTTCCCCATATTCAAAACGACGTCGTTTTGACGTCGTTTAATCATGACCGTCCGTTCCCCCAAATCCAATGGCCACGATTGATCCTCAAATTTAAATAAAACTGTCCGAAAATTATACAAAAAAACAAAAACACAATCCATCTTCCTCGTACTCCCTGTAACGCCACCGACACCCCACCGTCCGCCACCGTCTTCCGCCCTAGCGCCGCCGGCCGGAAATCGCCGCCGCGGGCGGCGATGCTCCGATGACCACCAAAATTACACCCTAGAACCACTGTTCTCCCCTCTTTCCAACCATGCCCTCAGCTCCCCTCGAATCATAGCCAATCTCGTCGAATATCAAATCTAAACTTTTCCGGCCATGACCCAACTCCTTCCAAACCACCCCAAATTAACACCCTAGGTCCCTTTCCCCTTTCCCTAGCCAAATCCCGGGTTAGTTTTTCTCGAATCTGCCTTAAATTGGTCAAATCTCAATTTGAATATTTTCCGGCCAAGACCCAAAGTATGCCAAATAGTCCCAAATTGACACCCTGGGTTCATCTGAGTCTCTTCTACCCAACCCCCATAGCCACTTGTCTCGAATCTGCCCGGAACATTACAAATTTTATCCCAAAGTCCGGCAGAACTCTAACTCAGAAATCTTAGGGATTTTAGACTGTAATTTCCCTAATCACGTGTTTTCTTTTGAAAAACACACGATTAGGGATGTTACGTGTCAAGAATCCCGGAGGATTCAAACAACGTTAGCTGGTCAGAGTTCGCCCCATAATCAGTCGAATGCTCAAGATTAGTAAGTGTTGTTCGATTCTGTTTTGATTTTGTTCAGTATGCTCTTGTTTAAATCTGTTTGGATAGTCTTTAATTCTTTAGGGCACTTTGATTTCAATTTTTTCTCCAGTATTTGATCTTTTACTGTTATAAGTGGTTAGTGGTAATTAATTAGTTTAGTTTAGTTTGATTCAGTACTTGCATTAGTAATTCCATGTTCAGGATCTAGTTTAAGTTTTGTTCTTCATGTCGACATTGTTCCCAGTAGTCATATACGTTTTAAGTGGTCTGATTTTAGTTAGTCGACTCATAATTGTTTACTGCAGTTTGATTTTAATTGTTCTAACCTCTTGATTAGCTAATTTGTCTAGTTTGATTAGCCCCAGAAATAGATTGCTTGGTTATAGTTAATGGACTGGTTTAACTTAGTCAGTAATTTCAGGGGATTCAAAGGTTAGTTTAGGCATGGAAAAGGGTAGTTTCATTAAGATTGGTAATTGTTGAAGTAAAGTAAGGGTAGAATAGGAATTGTAATGGGTATAGAACCTTCTAGGATGGACTATAGTATAGATTTCAATAGAATAGGTGTAGTTACTTGTGTAACAAGTCAGAAAATAAAGGGTAGAAAACAGAATTAGAATAGGGACTAAGGGGTAAAAGGAAAATCTGAAATTGGACCCTAAGTTCACCTATAAATAGGTATTCATTTGCCTTGATTCACAAGTTTGGAGGCCTAAAAATTCACCCCCCCCCCCCCCCAAAGTGTTTACAGATCTGAAGTCTGAAATTCAAAAAAAAATTCAAAAACCAAAAACAAAAACAGTAGAAAAATCCAAAAAAAATAATATACTGCTCTATTGGGACTCTCTTAGATCAAGTTTGAATTTCATTTGTAGATCAAGTTTCAGTGCAACAGAAGGTTAAAAAATGGTTTGAGTATCTTCTAGACCTTGTTTGGTTCAAGTTCAGGGACTTTTTGGTTGATTTCGAGTGTATTTTGATCCAATCATATCTGGTTTTCTATCTTGCTTTTGGTTGTTTAATCTGCTGCTAGTCATTCCTGGGTCTGCTGTGGTATTTTGGTATTTGAGAGTGATCTAGTCTGCTTTGAATTTGGGTCCTGCTGTTCGTTACTGCTTTAGCTGACTTCCTTCTTCCTCATTTCTGTTCTAATTTCCAGGTATATTCTTTAGGCCTTCAAGTGATGTGGAAGCTTGTATATTAACATGCGTGAACATAATCTGCTGTTGTTGTTTAGTTTACGTACACGCATTTGACCTCACAAGTGATGTACTCTTCCATTGAAATGAAATGAAGTGTGATTCAAGGCTGTGCTCCATGGTGAATGTTTATGGATGTGGTTAGTTTTTGAACTATGTAATGGTGTAATTTCAGTGCACGTGATATGTTAAAATTTGGACTGTTTGACTCAGTATATTGAACTTGTATATGAATTTCATAGACTGTTAAGGTGGCTCAGTTAGTTAGTGATGTTTAAATCGATTCAATGTGTTGTTAGTATAGCATAGGATAATGTGAGGTAGCTTCCTTTGTTAGTAGTGTTTAACAAATTAACCCCTGTTTCCGTGTTACTTCAATTCTGTTAATCAGGGGAACATGAGACTTGGTTTATTTTTAGCTGTGAAATAGCAATTAGATTGTACTACCGTTGAATCTCAAGCAAAGCCTAAATAATTGCCTAATTAGTTGATGGGGCTGGGACGGTTGGATTTGCATCCAGGCGCAATTCGCTGTCTCTTGCGTGGGCTCTTGATTTGGGAGCCATGCTTATCAGCTACACTTGAATGTGCCTAATCACACCCTGGGCCAGTTTTTCTAATAGCGGGCCCCAAGCGTTGGGCCCTGGACAGCATATCCTTGATTCTGGATTATAAATTGCAAGGCTTAGTAGTTTGTTTAAATTGACCACATCTCCGCTGGCCAGGGTCCATGTTTGACTGGATTTTGCTTATGGACTGAAATTTAACTCACATGGCCGGGTTTGTCTTTGGGCCCGAAGGCATATCTAAGTCAATGATAAATTAATTTAGGACTTTTTCCTTTTATTTTAGAGACGAAATTAAGTAGAGAATCGTAGTTTGCTTTTAGGTTGGCCTTAAAATAAATGAGACGAGCCTCGCCAAATCAAAACATATAAATTGTGGGGCCCTCATTAAAGATTATATAAAAAATATTTAGAAACTCGGGACATGCCATTTAGCGAATTTTCATGGCTTCCCCACAGGTTAATAGACGCTAGCCACTTTAGGCGCGCTTCTTAATAATTTTACCTTCCTAAATACGGGGCACATTTATGTGACCCAAATCCAAATCTCAACGAAGTCGAAATGTTGTAACAATCACGGGGCGCACTGGTGCGACGCGGTTTCGAGACGCATTTTCACGACGTTGCAAATTCTTATTAAAAATAAAATAAAAGTGGTTAAAATAAAAGGCACAATAGGTTAAGATATGTTTTAAAATCAGAATAAAAGCAAATACAACAGTTGAGCGACGTGCTAGAACCACGGAACCCGGGAATGCCCTAATACACTTCTCCCGGGTTAACAGAATTCCTTACTCGGAGTTCTGGTTCGCGGACTGTTAACAGAGTCATAAATTTCCTCGGATCGGGATTCAACCGGTGACTTGGGACACCATTAATCTCCAAGTGGCGACTCTGAATGTTAATAATAAATCCCGTTCCGACTGTCCTTTAATTGGAAAACTTCCTTACACCCTCACAGGTGTAGCGTAAAAAAGGAGGTGTGACAGTTCTGGCGACTCTGCTGGGGAAAAGAACCTAGAATCTCTGGTTCAGGGTTCAGAATCGAGCCTTAGATATATTTGTTGTATTTGCGTTATCTGATTTTCTACATGTTTCATGCTAAAATGTGCAAAATGTTGCTTTTTACCGGCTTTGATATTATCTGGATTGTATATTAAACTATGGCGAAACCCTTCTCTTCTCACCTCCGGGGATGTGCCTCACTGGTGGAGACTCCTTATTCTGTTAGTATCAAATACCCTGAAATAAGAAAGAGGCCGGACAAGTTACTAAGCCAGATGGCCTTTTGGTTCCCGGTACGTAGCCCCTCCTCGACTCGAGTTTCTGCTCGGGTACACAGTCTAGAACACGTACCCAGGTTTTGAACCTAGAAGAACTTGACTTTCATGCCGGAGGTCCCTAAGAGAACGCTTATTTGCATCACGTGCATGTTTGACTTTAGGGGACTCAACACAGGGGTTGGGTCGTCATAGGACAGGTGTACCCGAAATAATGGACCATCCTGATGCATCCTACTTGTGCTTTATTTGTTGGACTCGCCAATGCTGACACGGCTTGTTAATAATTTTGGGAAAAATTGGAAAAACAAAAAGAGAAAAAGAAGTGAGAAAATAATGCGGAGCAGTTTGATAGAGAGTTATTACCTATATAGAAAAACAATGTCCAATTAGTGCCAAATTCCTCCGGATGTTTCAAATATGAAAGAAAAAAAAGAAAAGCAAAGTGTTTTTTTTGTGGAAAAGAAAACAAAAAGAGTTTTATTTTCAAATTAGTTTATTTTATTTGCCACTGAAAAGAAAATAAAAAAAAATTTTGCTTTCAGAAATAGTGTATTTGCCAACAAAAACAAAAAAGAGTCTTGTTTCAAATAGTTAGACTTATTTTGCGCCGGAACTACGCTTGTTTTGATTCTCACCGGATATGAGTACGTAGGCAACCCTCGTTGGTCCAACCATCCCCTTTGCAAAACTAGCCAAAATGCAAAATTTTTTTTATAATTTCGTTTCGCATAGAATAAGTCGGTGCCGCCATTCTTATTTAAAATAAGCCGAATATTCCCCAAAAGGGCGCGAAGGCTGTTTTTGCAAAGAACGGCCACCCTGAGTCATTTTTAACGGTGTGCACGTACAGTTTTTAAAAATTCTTCTTTATGCAAGTGCTGAAAGGCGTATCCGCCAAATACCGGCTTTTGTTATAAATTGAGACCAATTGAACAAGAGAGATTGTGCCATTTTCCCTCATCTCTTTCAGGTTTCAAATTATCTAGTGTGAATTTAAATCACTTAATGAAATTGTTGAGATGAGCACGACTCAAAATGAATTATTTTCAATCCATGCATAAAATCCCTTAGGATTAACTGAGCACTCATGTAAGAGAGATGTGCATAGGCTAAGGTTTGATGCGTATGGAGAGTGTGATACTTCTTCAAGACGTTGATTTGAGAAGATA